AACATCATATCATTTCAAAATTCCGCTTCAATAAACAAAATTGGCGCAAGCTAGCCACAAGAACCGGTCGGTAATGTCCTTGAGACAAATTGCTCTTTTTGGCGGTTAGCCATAATCAAGGCTGAACCGAATTAGAACCAAAAAACAGTAAAAAAACGGTCAAATGGGGCTATAGACCCTCGGGTCTACATGTTTTAAGGTCTGCGTATGGGGGGACTCGAACCCGGTTGACCGGCGTGAGAGACTTGTCCCTAGGCCGCTCGGCCAACTGTGCTTATGGTTGTATGGTTGTTACTATTACTGGTGTGAATTGCATGAGCGAGGTTGGCAGAAGTCGTCGGTTCTGACGAAATTGATACAGGAGTGAAGGCCAGCAAAACTGGCGCACTAGCAACGTCAGGTGCTTGAGGACTAACAGAGTCTACCCAATCATTAGTCCGATCGGTTGCTACTAGTGAAATAGGTTGACTTACTCCTGTCGAGTTACTTTCCGCTACCTTCTCGCTAACCTCAGATGAACTGTTCTCAAGTTCAAAAGCTTTCATTTCCATTTCAATTAGTTGCTTTGTAGGACTTTCAGCCAATTGTTCTAGTTCCAGCTGACTTTGTTCGAATTTAAGACGGATCTCTTGCTTTTTAAGTCTTCAAGATACTTGATACTGCCTTTCCAGCTCCTCATGGCGTCGTTTTACTAAAGCTAACTCATGCCGTTTCTCACTTGCTGACATAGTGCAAACAGTCGACGTATGACGAGTGGAAGCAGATTTATCTGACTTATGTGAGACGAGCTTTCTACTATCCTTAGACTTATTAGAGACCTAAGAGCTGCTTTCAGATACTCGTGCTTCTGAGTCTCTTGATTTGTGCGAGCGTGAGGATGTCTCAGAGCTAGTTTGTTGTAAAGATCCGTCGCTCCCTATCATGCCGGCTGCTGAAAATTATGAAGGTTCAAGGCTCATCTTGTAACTCTGAGCTTCATGCACTACTTTATTGTTCAATTCGGTAACTTTCTTAAGTCAAAGGTCTTGCTCAACAATTATTTTTTCAGGGTTTTACGTTTTACCCGCTAACTTGATTAATTGCTCATTGACGTCAACAGCTTTGTCCAGAGCAATTTTACATTTGTAAACAGCATTATCAGTTTTTGTGGTGCGACTATTATTCTCAATGTTTTCAAGTAATAAAGAGTGACATTTAAGCAGCTCATTTTCTAAATTTAGACGGGTTTCAAATAACTTGCGTATCTTACTTTGGAATTTTTTGTCCATATTTTCCGCAAATTCACAATGTTTTACGAATGCTCACAAAAGAGAAAACAATTATTAAAAAGCTACTGTCTTGGTACGTAATTAAATTTACATTAATGTATCAACATTAGTTTACAAGATGGGGGAACTTGACGTTTCAAAGCTTCTGTCTGAAGCCAATTTTTTATAGCTCTTCGAGTTTTGAGTGGTAAGCGGTTCCGCTTCTTACGAGTCTTAAGGATGTTAAGATTAGCGCTATAACGCCTTAGAAGGAGGAGAGTCTTTAACTCAAGGGAAGGAGGCTGGTGAAGCTCTTTGTACTTCTCATTTAGTACCTGGTCCTTAGCCTTACGCTTAGAGATAAAGTCTATGACAACGTTCAGAACGAGAATACCTGTTGAAACTAAACTTTCCTCTATATCCTCGGTTCCGTTCCGTCTACAGTATAGGATCGCACAAATGTTTGTCCTATGCCTTAATAACAAATTGACAAGTTACTCACCACTCAGCTTGCGGTTCCTACTTATCGAGTTATTAATGGCGTCGTGTCAATTTACAAGGTCGTTACGGTGAGACCAGTAAAGATGCAGTTAGTACTGTATTGTTTTCTGGGAGTCCCTAGCGTTAAAGTTCAAACTTAAACCTGGCTTTTTAAAGCAAGTATTTTTGACGCGCTTTTGGGACGGAGCGGGAATTTTTCGGAGCGCTTGATCCAAGGAACTAGCTCCTAGAATAAATACCATGCACTTAAGGGACCTATGCGACGGCTACGTTACGCTTAAGTACCAATGGGGTTGAAAAATTAAGTAGGTCGGTTGAACTCCAACAACACACGGAGTAAAACTGAGGATGAAAGAATTCAATTTAACTCACTTAATATCAGCGTACCTGCCACTTAACGTTACTGTCATGCAACGAGATCAATAATCGGACGGGCTGAAACGGCTTTGATTTACTTGAAGCGAACTGGCTTTCAGTTTCACCAATGGTGGGTGGGGGACCAGGCAACTTGGTTAAGTTCCAACAACACACGCGGAAGAAACCTGAGGATGAAAAAACTCAACTTAATTTGCCTGATATTCCGCTACCAGACCACTTACCATAAGGTTGGTATCATGAAATCTGGGGACTTTTGAGGATTTTTTTGACAATTTTTATTAATTTTCACAAAATTTTTCGGAAAATTTTGGTCAGCAGGTTCGAGTCATGAACCAATCCAAAAACTAGTCCAGTACCTCTTGTCTTGAATAATATTCCGTTCACAAATATCCAAAAATATTTGGTATCGAGAAAAAAATGTCAAATAGTTCGTTTATGTACCGACTGTAAGATATTTCAGTTCAACGGAACTGTCCAAAAGTTTTGGGTAATGAGAAAAACCGGGTGCTAGCTTGCGGTAAAAATTCTAGCATATAGTACATCGTATATAAATTTATAGCACATTGGAAAGTTTTAAAAGTTTTGGAAACTTCTTACAGTTTTTAATTGGAGATTGGCGGCACCGGAAAAAATCCAAAACTTCGGGTGTCGAGAAAAACACAGCTCCACTTGCCCGAAAGTCAGCAATCAGGACACCTGAACAGGCCTCTCTTCCGTCAGTCTGCTCTTTCGCCTGTCTGCTATATCGTCTGTCGGCTCTTTTGGCCAACTGCCCACTTTCGTCAAGCATACTCTGTGACGAGTTTCGGCCAATTCGGTACTCTGATGTTTTCGTATTGTCGACCCAACGCCCACTTTTGGTCAAACGCCCACTTTCGGCCAACTGGTAGCTGATATTTTCGTATTTTCGGCCAAACCGAGCCCTGGGCGAATTTCGGCCAATTTTGTTAGCTGCTCACTCTGTTTCGGCCAATTTCACGGTCCCTTCACTCTGTTTCTGTCCAAAATGTTCCCGCTCTAATCTCCAAACGAAAATAATTGAATCCAAATCCGTAAATTATTAAGAGATATTTCTCGGTAAATAACTCAGGCAATAGATAAATTTCGGCATTTTCAATCAATCATAACATCAAATAATATTTTTATCATCGGCCTGTTGTTGGTACAAATTGGCGCAAGCTAGCCACAAAAACCGGCCGGTAATGTCCTTGAGACAAATTGCTCTTTTTTGGCGGTCAGCCTCAATCAAGGCTGAACCGAATTAGAACCAAAAATAACAGTTAAAATAGGATATAACCCCCTTTTTTAGTATATTAATACTTGGGCAAGTGGGGGACTCGAACATACGTCAACTGTCATGTCGTAGTCAGCTTTGCCATCTGGTTTTATTTTATTTGCATTTATACTCTTGTTTTATATTTGCGTTGCAACATGATCAGCTCCGACATCTATCACTGTCTTGGCGCAAAATGTGCAATTGAGCAAATTATGTAGCAAAAAAGCAAAGTTTGAATCAGTTTTTTTTTTCAAATTTTTGGATCAGAGAGATTTGTTATTTCTGTATTGTCAGAAAAACTGCTTCCTGACTCGAACATCAATTTTAAAGTGTAACCATTTGGTTTTAAAGGGCTCTGCAATATGAGCGATCACCATATATGCCAAACTTTCAGGCATTTGGACTAAGTAAACAGGAGTTAATACTATTGTATTACAGAAAATGTCACAGGTGGGGCAAACGTTAAGAAGGTGCTTAGCCCTTGCTAGCTAAAATGATTTTCTTTTGCCGCGAAAGGAATTTCACTTGGCTTAGATGTAAAAAACAAAAATGTTTCCTTGATTTCAAAAATAAAATTTATTAAGAGCGTTCGTTCGTGTGGTTTACTGTGCTCAAGATTTTTATGGAAGTTCTATTTTTTTTAAGAATTCACTTTCAGATGTTTGATCTTTTTTTTTACCTTATTACTTAAGTAAGTTTATCATATTTTCTGCTGGCGTTTTTTGAGCTTCTCAATTATCATTCCAAGACCGATATTACCAGAAAAATCCCCTCCACCGGCCAATTTTTCGTGATTGGCTCTCTTATTGTTCCTTCGCCAGATAAAAATATCAATTATACCGTCCATTATCTTTGATTACAGAGCGATGTATTGTACACGGTAGAAGAGCACAAATTCGTTATAGCCCTACCACACCTTGGTTTTTGTATGATCTCAGGTCATTTTTTTGCTTGAGTGGGCTATATTAGTAGCCTTTTAATATTCCCTTAATTTAAAATTCCCTTTTTTAAAGCGAAATAATTTCAGGCTTTTAAACGAGACACACGTCTATTTGCACAGATGTTTTTATAATGGAAGTTTTGATGGTGTTAAAAAATCAGTGAACAAGTTTCCTAATGAAAAGATTGGCTCTTTTTCTTTCGCTTACACATCGATTTTATGGTGTAATTTCGGGTTTTCAAGTATAAAAACAATATATGCTTGTTATGGTTTAATTAGTCCACATGCCAATTAAAAAAATATATATTTGAAAAAATTGGGAGAAGATTGAGTGGGACGAAAAGGAGCCGAAGGCTCTTTTTCCTTTTCCCCCTCACCTGCAAATTTTTACATGTTAATTTGTTGACCACATTGTCCGATTGTTATGAAAATTTACATACAGACTAATAAGGGGGGGGAAGGAAAAAGAGCCGAGCCGAAAAATCTTTGGTTGAATAACCTCACAAAACCTAATGAGTTTTTCTCACAAAATGAAGTGCCGGATGAAAAAAATCAATTTAGCTGGAGTTTTATCTTAATTGCTTCCCTGTAAAATAAATAGCCATCCAGTCTGAGAACCTTTTATTCATTGTTGATTTATTTATACTGTCATTTTAAACGCTAGTTAATTTTTGTCTTTTTCCGGCACGTGCTCTAAATTTGGACTTTTAATACCACATTGAAGAGACACATGCATATATTCTTACCTATGCAGTGAATCATTACAATGGCCAGAAATTTAATCAAAAAATGCACACAACAACTTGCATTATTGAAGCTACAAGAAGCGAGAAATTTATTTTGAAGATTCATTAAATATAAATTAATTCTAAATAATAAATTGAACAATTTTAACCTGAATTATTTTTGGTTGTTTTTTGCTTTTCACTATAGCATTATCGATAGCATTACAGAATTATTATCGAGCTATTGTAGCGAGTAAGTTTGTAGAATATGGGGAAAACGTCGTTTGTTTTCCCTGACAAACCGGACCCCCCGATGGTCGGCAAAGTGACCCACAAGAGCATTGAGTTGTTCTGGAATCATGTGCAGAAGCAGTACTACGGGGGTGAGAAGGGAGACTTCAGACCCCGCTTCTGCATCCAGGAAGAGGACCAGATCAAAGGGTTTGGCTCTGTCTACACTGGCTATGGAACTAGTTTCGTATTTGATGGACTCGATGCCAGAACCAAATACAGATACAGAATACAAGTGAGATTTTCATGAACAACTGAATTTATAGTCGTCTTCATCGTGAAACACATTGTCGACGAAATTTCATTTTAAAGTGTCAATTTTGAATCAACAAACAGTTTGCGTTATTTTAAAAAATTTGTTTTAAACCATTTAAAAAAATTGAAACAATAAACACATGTTATTTATGGATTCGAATCTAAAGCCTCTTAAAACTGGAATCATCTAGATTTTTCATAAGAAAGAAAAAGTAAGGATCCGGATCTACTCTTATCCTCGTAGGTCATCTACGGGAACAACGATCAAACATCGCCCTGGAGTCGCATAGTTGCAGTTAGTACCACTGATCTCCCCCTCAACACAGACCACTTGCATCGGGCCATAGTGCGGGGGGACATACACGCCGTGAAAAAGGCGCTCGGAGACCAAGTCTGCCACGTGGACGCACCAAACAAAGAAGGCTACACTGCTTTGATGGTTGCGACTATGAGTGGCATGCTTCAAATTACACAGCTCATATTGGACAAAAAAGCAGATGTCAACATCCAATCAAAATCAGGCAAAGATGCACTGATGTTGGGTTGTTTTGAAGGTTACATGAACATATGCAAGGCTTTGAGGAAGTACGGGGCTAAACTGGACCAGAGAGACAAAGGTGGAAACACTGCCCTTCATCTGGCAACGGATGGGGGGAACTTGGACATTATCAGATGGCTAGTAGCAGAAGGTATTATCGAGCAGATAGAGATTTCTACGAAAATTTTCAGGCTCCCAGTCATTTTCGCCACGGCCACTTCCGGATATGACTGCTTTTGGGGCGGAAATGAGTGGGTTTTTGGGGCGGTAGTGTCAGGAGCGGAAATGGCTGGTCACGATATTTTCAAGCAGTAACTGATTGGTTTCAAATCCCCCCCACCCCCTATCCCCCCTCATATTACAAAGTTTCAACTTTGCTAATATGCTGCATGCCATTGTGGCTAAATTCATGACGTATAAAGTACGAATTTATCAAAGATCAACATAGGTTAGAGAGAAGACAGCAAAATAGTCGATTAAGTTCAGATTGGTCGTATTTGTTCAGGCGCTGACGTGGACGCACGCGACACGGTGTCCGGGTGGACTCCCCTGTTGAGATGCACAGCCATGTCGAGTAATGTGCTTGCCGGGCAGTGTCTCATACAACTGGGGGCGGATGTGAATGCCACTGACAAGGAGGGAAAGACTGCTCTCATGCTGGCTGCCATCAAGACCAACTCCCACTTCGGAAAGATACTCCTAGGTCAGATTCGTTCTGCCAGCTGATGTCGTAGCCCTTTTCTCCACGTTTTATAAGTACTTCCAAAGAAAATAGTAAAAATACAGCTATAGAAAAGTTCGGGTTTAGGCAATCAGATCACAAACCAAATATCATCGTGGAAATAAATTCTAGATGTTTTGAAACCAGGGTAGAGTTCAGTTTTCTATAATATTTTTCTTTGAAAACAAATGAAAATGATGCTTTTCTTGTTATAAAAACCAAGATCAGAAAAAATAGCCGGTTGTTGATCAGATTCGCACAGATCGTTTTGACTACAAAAAATTGAATTAAATCTATGAACAAATAGAAAAACAACGACTGCCTGTTACTGTGCAAGGAGTGCAAGAATAGTCTTACAAAATACAAAAAAGGGTCTTTTTTTTTCTGCGTGGTGTGATAAAAGATTCTGAACGACAAGCTAGAACTTGAACTTATTCGACAGTCATAGTGAAATATGCAAACTGGACAACAGTTTTTGTAGAAAAATGGGCAAAAGTTTTTTTTTAATTTTTGATTTTTTGATTCCCAAAATTTTAATTCTAGTCGAATAACTTTAATCGAGGAAAACTAAGTAGTTTTTGCAGTTTAAGTTACGCATAAACTAACTATTGTAAGCCTGCTCGCTCGCTCTATTTGCTCGGAATTATACGAAAAATCAAAAAATTCAATCCGATTTTTCTCGAAATGGGAAATTTTTTGGAAAATTTTTAACGTCATTTGAGTCACAAGTGAATAGGCTTTAGTATGATATATCACCCAACCCATTGCATTGAATATTTTTGGTATCAGATTTTGCGCGGAAAACAAAAAGAAAAAAAAATAAAAAAAACTAAAAAAAAAACACTTGAATACAAATATCTTCCCCATTTTTCGAATAGTCAAAACACTAATTTTCAATTTTTTCCTACTTTGTTGGTTTTCTCATTTAAGAATAGTTGAAATTGTTTTTAAAAATGCAAAAATGAGAGAAAAAAGTTGCTAAAATATTACATCAAAAGCTTGAAATAGATTGAGGGTTCAGTTTTTCATTGTAAGAATCGTAAGTTTCGAGTAATTTATCATTAAATAGAAACAGAAAAAATGACAATTTTGTTTCTCCAAAATTAAACTTTTTTTGACACTTATTTCAAACTATTTTTGAAGCTTTTTTTGTTCAAAAGTTTTTCTTAAATCTTTTTTTTTCAAAGATTTTTCTGTTTGTTGAAATTTTGCGATAATTCAAAAAGTCTGTACTTAAGTTCGATTCTGAATTTATTTGCTGAAAGGAAAACAAATATTGCTCTCCAGCAGTAATTGTGCAAATAACAAAAAATGAGAATGAGTTTTAACTTCCAGTTTTCATCTTTGTATTTGCCAGCAGGAAATACAAATCCAACTTTATCAGAAAATTAATTGACAAAAACTCTTTAACTTTTTTTTAAAAATGTGTCGTTTGTTATTTTTCGATGTACTAATCTACAAGCTTCTAAGAAAAAAAGCAGCAAATTTAGCAAAAAAATCCCAAAATGTTTTTGAAAAAATCTAATTTAAGAATAAAAACGTTCAAATTTTCCCATTCTGTTTCTACTTGCCTGGATACTTCAAATCAGCACTGTATAACACTGCAATTGATATTCCATGAAGGCATTAAATTTCGGACTAGATGTTCATTTAAAACATATATATTTTGTAATTATCGAATGCAAAAGTAGCCTGCGCTCGGAACAGAACAATCTGAAAACATATATGATTGATACGCTTATTTTAGACGCAGGAGCTGATTTTTCGGTCAAAAGTGCTTTCGGCAAAACGGCTGCGGATATGAGTGAAGCAACAGACAACAAACAGATTGCGAAGATGATTGGGGAACTGAAACGGATTCTTCACGAGGAACAACTGCAGAAGATGACTCAAGACTCATTACACTAAACAAAATGAAGCTCGTGTGAGGTGGGGGGGGGGGGGGAGGGGGGAAGGAAAAAGAGCCGAGCCGAAAAATCTTTGGTTGAATAACCTCACAAAACCTAATGAGTTTTTCTCACAAAATGAAGTGCCGGATGAAAAAAATCAATTTAGCTGGAGTTTTATCTTAATTGCTTCCCTGTAAAATAAATAGCCATCCTGTCTGAGAACCTTTTATTCATTGTTGATTTATTTATACTGTCATTTTAAACGCTAGTTAATTTTTGTCTTTTTCCGGCACGTGCTCTAAATTTGGACTTTTAATACCACATTGAAGAGACACATGCATATATTCTTACCTATGCAGTGAATCATTACAATGGCCAGAAATTTAATCAAAAAATGCACACAACAACTTGCATTATTGAAGCTACAAGAAGCGAGAAATTTATTTTGAAGATTCATTAAATATAAATTAATTCTAAATAATAAATTGAACAATTTTAACCTGAATTATTTTTGGTTGTTTTTTGCTTTTCACTATAGCATTATCGATAGCATTACAGAATTATTATCGAGCTATTGTAGCGAGTAAGTTTGTAGAATATGGGGAAAACGTCGTTTGTTTTCCCTGACAAACCGGACCCCCCGATGGTCGGCAAAGTGACCCACAAGAGCATTGAGTTGTTCTGGAATCATGTGCAGAAGCAGTACTACGGGGGTGAGAAGGGAGACTTCAGACCCCGCTTCTGCATCCAGGAAGAGGACCAGATCAAAGGGTTTGGCTCTGTCTACACTGGCTATGGAACTAGTTTCGTATTTGATGGACTCGATGCCAGAACCAAATACAGATACAGAATACAAGTGAGATTTTCATGAACAACTGAATTTATAGTCGTCTTCATCGTGAAACACATTGTCGACGAAATTTCATTTTAAAGTGTCAATTTTGAATCAACAAACAGTTTGCGTTATTTTAAAAAATTTGTTTTAAACCATTTAAAAAAATTGAAACAATAAACACATGTTATTTATGGATTCGAATCTAAAGCCTCTTAAAACTGGAATCATCTAGATTTTTCATAAGAAAGAAAAAGTAAGGATCCGGATCTACTCTTATCCTCGTAGGTCATCTACGGGAACAACGATCAAACATCGCCCTGGAGTCGCATAGTTGCAGTTAGTACCACTGATCTCCCCCTCAACACAGACCACTTGCATCGGGCCATAGTGCGGGGGGACATACACGCCGTGAAAAAGGCGCTCGGAGACCAAGTCTGCCACGTGGACGCACCAAACAAAGAAGGCTACACTGCTTTGATGGTTGCGACTATGAGTGGCATGCTTCAAATTACACAGCTCATATTGGACAAAAAAGCAGATGTCAACATCCAATCAAAATCAGGCAAAGATGCACTGATGTTGGGTTGTTTTGAAGGTTACATGAACATATGCAAGGCTTTGAGGAAGTACGGGGCTAAACTGGACCAGAGAGACAAAGGTGGAAACACTGCCCTTCATCTGGCAACGGATGGGGGGAACTTGGACATTATCAGATGGCTAGTAGCAGAAGGTATTATCGAGCAGATAGAGATTTCTACGAAAATTTTCAGGCTCCCAGTCATTTTCGCCACGGCCACTTCCGGATATGACTGCTTTTGGGGCGGAAATGAGTGGGTTTTTGGGGCGGTAGTGTCAGGAGCGGAAATGGCTGGTCACGATATTTTCAAGCAGTAACTGATTGGTTTCAAATCCCCCCCACCCCCTATCCCCCCTCATATTACAAAGTTTCAACTTTGCTAATATGCTGCATGCCATTGTGGCTAAATTCATGACGTATAAAGTACGAATTTATCAAAGATCAACATAGGTTAGAGAGAAGACAGCAAAATAGTCGATTAAGTTCAGATTGGTCGTATTTGTTCAGGCGCTGACGTGGACGCACGCGACACGGTGTCCGGGTGGACTCCCCTGTTGAGATGCACAGCCATGTCGAGTAATGTGCTTGCCGGGCAGTGTCTCATACAACTGGGGGCGGATGTGAATGCCACTGACAAGGAGGGAAAGACTGCTCTCATGCTGGCTGCCATCAAGACCAACTCCCACTTCGGAAAGATACTCCTAGGTCAGATTCGTTCTGCCAGCTGATGTCGTAGCCCTTTTCTCCACGTTTTATAAGTACTTCCAAAGAGAATAGTAAAAATACAGCTATAGAAAAGTTCGGGTTTAGGCAATCAGATCACAAACCAAATATCATCGTGGAAATAAATTCTAGATGTTTTGAAACCAGGGTAGAGTTCAGTTTTCTATAATATTTTTCTTTGAAAACAAATGAAAATGATGCTTTTCTTGTTATAAAAACCAAGATCAGAAAAAATAGCCGGTTGTTGATCAGATTCGCACAGATCGTTTTGACTACAAAAAATTGAATTAAATCTATGAACAAATAGAAAAACAACGACTGCCTGTTACTGTGCAAGGAGTGCAAGAATAGTCTTACAAAATACAAAAAAGGGTCGTTTTTTTTCTGCGTGGTGTGATAAAAGATTCTGAACGACAAGCTAGAACTTGAACTTATTCGACAGTCATAGTGAAATATGCAAACTGGACAACAGTTTTTGTAGAAAAATGGGCAAAAGTTTTTTTTGAATTTTTGATTTTTTGATTCCCAAAATTTTAATTCTAGTCGAATAACTTTAATCGAGGAAAACTAAGTAGTTTTTGCAGTTTAAGTTACGCATAAACTAACTATTGTAAGCCTGCTCGCTCGCTCTATTTGCTCGGAATTATACGAAAAATCAAAAAAATCAATCCGATTTTTCTCGAAATGGGAAATTTTTTGGAAAATTTTTAACGTCATTTGAGTCACAAGTGAATAGGCTTTAGTATGATATATCACCCAACCCATTGCATTGAATATTTTTGGTATCAGATTTTGCGCGGAAAACAAAAAGAAAAAAAAATAAAAAAAACTAAAAAAAAAACACTTGAATACAAATATCTTCCCCATTTTTCGAATAGTCAAAACACTAATTTTCAATTTTTTCCTACTTTGTTGGTTTTCTCATTTAAGAATAGTTGAAATTGTTTTTAAAAATGCAAAAATGAGAGAAAAAAGTTGCTAAAATATTACATCAAAAGCTTGAAATAGATTGAGGGTTCAGTTTTTCATTGTAAGAATCGTAAGTTTCGAGTAATTTATCATTAAATAGAAACAGAAAAAATGACAATTTTGTTTCTCCAAAATTAAACTTTTTTTGACACTTATTTCAAACTATTTTTGAAGCTTTTTTTGTTCAAAAGTTTTTCTTAAATCTTTTTTTTTCAAAGATTTTTCTGTTTGTTGAAATTTTGCGATAATTCAAAAAGTCTGTACTTAAGTTCGATTCTGAATTTATTTGCTGAAAGGAAAACAAATATTGCTCTCCAGCAGTAATTGTGCAAATAACAAAAAATGAGAATGAGTTTTAACTTCCAGTTTTCATCTTTGTATTTGCCAGCAGGAAATACAAATCCAACTTTATCAGAAAATTAATTGACAAAAACTCTTTAACTTTTTTTTAAAAATGTGTCGTTTGTTATTTTTCGATGTACTAATCTACAACCTTCAAAAAAAGCAGCAAATTTAGCAAAAAAAAGTCCCAAAATGTTTTTGAAAAAATCTAATTTAAGAATAAAAACGTTCAAATTTTCCCATTCTGTTTCTACTTGCCTGGATACTTCAAATCAGCACTGTATAACACTTTGCAATTGATATTCCATGAAGGCATTAAATTTCGGACTAGATGTTCATTTAAAACATATATATTTTGTAATTATCAAATGCAAAAGTAGCCTGCGCTCGGAACAGAACAATCTGAAAACATAAATGATTGATACGCTTATTTTAGACGCAGGAGCTGATTTTTCGGTCAAAAGTGCTTTCGGCAAAACGGCTGCGGATATGAGTGAAGCAACAGACAACAAACAGATTGCGAAGATGATTGGGGAACTGAAACGCATTCTTCACGAGGAACAACTGCAGAAGATGACTCAAGATGGCGATGGGGACACTTTAGAAATAGAAGTACCGCAAAACTGAAACTTGAAAACGCCACGTCAGCTGTGAAATATTTTTATCGAAAATTAATTGACTAAAAAGACAAACTGAAGGAAAAACAAAGATGACTTTGAAAACATTGTCTGCAAAAGTATGTCACAGAAAGCACAACGATAAATATTTCACCAACATTTGTGTCTGTTTTTTTTTCCACAATCGAATTTGGTTGACTTGGTTTGCACCACGACGGCAAACAGCATTCTTTAGTTTTCTTTCTTCTTAACTCAATTTGATAAATTGAAAAATATTGAATAAAAATTTGTAGATGAAAAATTAAACAATTTTGTATCTGTCTTGCTTAGGTTGAATTCAATTTTCTCTGTATCTATATGTATCTGTGGTTTCCAAATACACTAGGTGTGTGTTTGGCGATACAAAATTAGAACAGTGGGAACTCGACATCTTCCTTTGCAAAAGTGCTTGTGCCTTTTTTATGGCAAACCTGAAATGGGCAGACGTTCTGGCTTGTTTCTGGCTCTCTAAATCAGTTATTTAAAGGAAAAATAAGCGTGGAATTATCTTAAAGTCTCAAAGTCCCATTGTTTGTGACCCGACTGCAAAGAAGAAATCTAAAAAATAATCTGTGTCGAGAAAAATTGCAGTGAATAATTTAGGTTTTCAAACTAAATTAGGCAAAAATTGATTTGATAGTTCTCTCCAGACTTAATTCCACAACAATTTAAACATTAATGTTGGTACCTTTTGTCTCGTTTCAACTTTATTCCAATTGTACATAATAAAAAGTGCGCATCCTGAAAAGACAAACCAAGTGGAAAAAAAACTTATCCAGAGCCTTTCAAGCCGATTATGTTAAAATAACATTTAAAATATTGCAGACATTTAGTTTTGGCATCTGTATCTCTTTAAATTAAAATCAACCTTGTCATTAAATTGTTTTGGCGCATTTTAATTTGGTTTACAACCCAATTTGCAGATGTTTATGTTAGAAAAGTAGCCACTTGATTAACCTAAACTCTAAACTGCCAATCAGCCTCCGGACAAAAACCTGCCCGGGTCTATTTCTGAACAAATTCGAAACTTTTTCCAAACAATTCTCTGGAAAAGCATTGGGGCTTCCAACTTGAATGTTTATTTTCACTTTGCAGCTAAAACTGATTTGTTTTCGAAAGCTTCAAATAGCAGTTGGAAATTTAGGGCCGACAACTGATCGATGTTTATGAACGGTGAGAATGAAAAGTGTTTTAGAGAGCCCATTTCAAAATCGGGTTGTTAAAGTTGCATTTGCAAATAGTCTGTGTAAGGTCAGGTCACTAATGACACACAACTGTCATATGGCTCAAATGTAACAGTTTTGTTGCGGAAATTTGTAAGCTCAAAGACATTCAATTCAGTAATTTGAAATTTGTCTCATCACTTAGAAGATTTGCATGGACATTTTCCGAGTATCGAACACTTTATTTATTAAATGTCGTGTACACCTCGAGCTGAAACTGTGGATTTGGATCGGCTGGAGTGCCGAAAATGCCAGCATTGCACAGCCGGATTGTTTGGAAGACGTTTTGTAGTGAGAGATAATTTCACTTTTTGCTGCTCCTGCTATGAGCTGCTCTTCACGCAAATTTGTTCATTCTGTAAGCTCAAAATAGGTAAGTCAAACTATTATGCGAAAGATATCCGTGTGGTATTTTTTTCGAAAAGAAGAACACGCCAGAAACGATCAAGTGTTTCAATTGTCAGAAAAAGTTAAAATTGTCAGAATTTTTCGTAAAGCATCCTTACCATTTTAATGTACAAAATTGAAAAATTACCAAAACTGAGTTTTGATGACAAATAAGTTAACCCAGTTACTATTTTTAAATCGTAACTGAAGTTGAAGCGAGCATTTTTTCTTGATGTAAACAATAATATAACAATTGCAATTTTTAATCTGAAGACTTGATTACAGATATTACGTCATATAGATCACCAAATTCTGAAAGGGATAATTCATAAACACTTAGTTTTCAAAAAATTACATGCGAAATGCATGCGGGGCGTGGCTATCATAGTTGCTTTTTTCTCTATCATAGTAGTATCTCAAGTTAACTCCAAAATTAAGTTTTGAGGCACCAAGTATACTAACAAGACTGCTCGTATGGTCAGACTGCCTCTTAAGCTTTATAGAATAGTGTTCAGTTTGAAATTTTCTAGAAAATAAATTTTGAATTTTTTTTGATTTTTTTTTCTCAAAAATCAGCCCTTCAAACTCTATTTAAAGTACAAAGTGACATGTTTTGCATGTAGCAAAGCATTAAATAGACCAAAAAACCAAGAAAGATGCTTCATTTCAACTTGAAACACTATGATGGATTAAATGGGAGCTTACGCGTTAATAGCACGATATCTATTGTTTATTATCCAAAGTGGGCCTAATTGGCAATCTTTTAACCCCCCAAAACTCGGCGAAAAAGATCGCAGGTAAAATATTGTTTTGAATTTGTGCTGATAAAAATTGAATTTGTTTGAATTTGTGTTGTTTGGCTGATAAAAAACGCGTTGATAATTGCTAGTTAAAAAGTCGAAACTAATTTGTCTGGAGAAAAAGTCACCCGAGTACATATATTCCGTCCCTTTCTTCGAAAGTCGGAACAATAAGGTGTTCAGATGGCATGGATATGGCGCGAGTACGAGCTTCTACTTTACCTCTAGCTTCAGGTGTACCACAGCCTGACTTATTGTGAGTGCTATAACTTATGTTCTAGACAAAAATCGGCCTTGAGTCTGACTCATCAAAAAAGACTTTGGCTTAACAAAATAACTTACAGAGTCTGGAATATGAGAAAATTTAAAAAAAATTGGCTAGGTTTAAGCTCGCTTGTTAAAACCTACTGATAGCTCCTCCGCGATTCCCAGAAACCACAATTGTTTCTTGTTTCATTACACAAGGAAAGCAAAAAGATCATATAGGAAAAGTATAGTAGCTCTGATAATTTCAAAAAAGTGAGTACAGGACGCGTATGCTTAAATTACTGGTCAGAATTTTTGATCGATGAAGTATGTGCAAAAAAATGAATTACCTCAATAAATGATGAAAAGACAAAAATATACAGACATCTCTACAGACTAGACGCGAGTCTAAGAAGTTTCCAAGGGGACGGAATTTTGAAAAAGAAAAAAAAAACTTTTTTCAATTTTCGATTGAAAAGTCAGGCATTTTTATACAAAATCTAATCGGCATTTTTTGGCAGTATATCTGTTTGTGACATGAGCATTTTTTTCACTTCTCAAAATGTTTGCTCATTCTAGAAAAACTTCTAGAAAAAAACAAGGAATACTGAATAGAATCGGTATGTTCTATGAGTCGACCGAAGTGGCTGCATTGGATAATAGAAACTGAAAACTTGTGCATAATAATCAACCCAAATTGGCTAATTCGATTGGCTATTTTGAAACTTCTATAATTTCACGAAAAATAATAACAGTTTAAACAAGTTTCCCACCCACTTCATAAAAAGATATTCAAAATTTTTCAGATGATATAAAAAATCTTCGAACATTAGATCAAGAATTTGAGTTCGAATTGTTTACAGAAACTTTGATCAACGAACTAACTTTTCAAAAAGCAAGCATTATTTATTGGCTATAAATTGTTTCCATCTTCATTTAACGAATCTCGTGCCAACAAAATCTGGATTGCAAAAAGGGTGCACAACGGTAGAATAAAGCGTGCAAAACTGTTTGATTTGAAAGTGTTTCACAATGTGTGTTATAGGAATTGACGACGGCCAAATGAGCTACCACGATTTCCACTGGCACGCGACTGCCAAATGCTTCTCGTGTGCTAGATGTCGGAAGCCTCTATTCGGCCAGCCGTTCATTCCGAGGGGCGAGAGGATATTCTGCAGCCTCGTTTGCAGCAAGCTGCAGGATCATAGAGGCAACTTAACACTACCTAATCCCAAGCGGGCTCCGGTAAGTCCCAAAAGTCATTTATAACATCAAGTTTTATAACTCATGTCAAGGTATTATATTTGGAAAGCTCCTTTATATTCAGAGGAGCATTCAGGGGCGGGTTAGATACTTAATAATAGACCCCTTCAACATCCATAGTGTCCCATATTTGCTATAATATTCTTTGCTTAAATAACCCTCTGTGTTCAAAGATGGGTCGAGCGTTTACAAAAAAACGTAGTTTTATTGTTCAAAACTCTAAAAAAAAGTACCATAAAACAACTATATATGATAGTTTACGAAAACAGGTCTCACTAGTGTTTTGAGAGCGCTGGGATGATCAATTAGCTCGACCATTATAGAAAAAGTCGTCGAAGTTTTTGAAAACTTTTGGAACTGAAAATCCACCACCCCGTTTAAACCATAGATTGATTCGGTTCTTAATGATCATTGATTGATTAAAGAATGACCATGTTGCCAGACTATAACGGAAGGTTCTGCTGAACATGTAGTCTAGTTTCTTTAACTATTCAAAAGTTGCATTTCTGAGCAAGTTCAAACAGTTACTCAAGCCTTAAAAGGCAATATGTATAGTAATGTAATTTAAATAACCAAAAACAGTTATATCTAGACTGATTTCAGCCCAAACTGCACCATAACAACCTCGTTTCACCAAACCCATTTGACAGTCTTCGTCTACCCGAGTTGAAACGAAACGAGAGAATAAAAACCAACCGAGACCCGAACAACCCGATGATTGAGCCAAATATTGAAATAAAACCAGATTTCAATTTTAACGACTACTCAATATCACTTTTGAGTAAGCCTTCATTTATATTGAGTAGTAATAACACTACTAATGGATTTAATCATTTCCAGAAACGAAACTCGTTGCCAATTTTCGAGACGCTGGCAACCTTAAATGACCCCTTTTTACCCAAAACTTTTGTAGGCCCGTCTCAAAACACAACTTTCAAATATGAAAAAAATCAAAAAACTGACCTGATATCTTCAAGCAAGACAGATATGACTATTATTGAAGAAGCGAATACAAGTTGTATCAAAACTGATAAAAACGAATCTGCGTCGGAAATAAATGAAGAAGTTGATAAAATCAAATCAACAAGAGAGGTTAATTTAGATGCGAACCACAGCGAAATCTCAAATAAGCTTACAATAGAAGATGTCGAAAATGACATAGATAATGAGAAGCCCTCGAGTGAAAATGGCTTAATTGAATTTCCCACCGAAATCAGAAAAACACCTGATAAATTGATTGGCAAAGAAGAAGTCACGACACCTTTTTGTGAAGTAAAACCGGCCCAAGAATTCACCAGCACTCCATTGAATTTGGACTTTTTGAACTCAAATGACCTCTTGGATTTCTCGTTTGGAATCGCTGCTGATGAAAGACAACAAGAGACGCCCTTCAGAAAAATTGATCTTTCGAGCTTGGACTTCGGGACTGTACAAGATCAAAACTTGGAAAAAGGAAAAGGTATTGAGATTGTTAAATGCGACAGCAGATCCCAAGTCGAAGAAAAACTTACAGGTAAAATTCAAGTTCGATTTTTGTAGTTTCCTTAAAATTGAGCTGGTTGCAATAGAAACAAATCTTTGCTCAAAACACTTTTTTTTCTAAATTTTTAGAAATTTACATTCGGAATTAATGAGAATTGTAAATTTTTGACATACATGTTTTTGTTAAATTTTGGCAGCCATACCCATTTATCGAGGGTTGTTTTGTGATTATTACTTAAGTGATTGTTTTGTTTATTTTCAGGCGACGACCTAAGTCCTATAGCAAGCAACATGACTTCATTTCGCACCCAAAAACCGTCGTCAATTCCCTCGCGATCATTACCCAACATACCCTTTGAGCCAAAACAAAAGAAAGATTGCTCGGGCAAACCCCCCAAATCGAAGCCCAAATCCCGACTGAAAAAGACACTTTTTCAAACCAATATGGCCTCAACATCATGTAAAAGTGTCAGTTTCAACCCTTTGATTTCCGAGCGACCGAGAAGCGAGTCGTTTTCAAACGATGATCTTTCAGCCAATCAATTTGCAGAAAAGTCTGCTATGTATCCGCAAACCATTCAACCAGAGGATGACATGGAGGAATATGTTTATTTTCAAAACGAGCTTGGGCAATTTTACAAGGTCAGTTCAATGTGGTTGAAACGACAAACGAGAGTCCAACATAAGTGTCGTGGACCGATTAGTTTGAACGATTACGAATCTTCCGATTCCGATTCATCGACATCAAGCTCATCAGACGAAGACGATTTGCCAGACTTTTACTCACCCTATGTGAGAAACACATTCAATGCTAATTCGGCATTCATTCGCCAGAAAAGCTGGGAAAGGAGCCACAAATCGAGACCCTTGTCCTGCATTCCAAACTACATTTCCAGTCGCCATTCTAAGACTGTATTTCAGTCAAAACCGGAAGCTGATTTCGAGTCAAATAACCGAGCAGAAGCTAAATTCAAAGTATTTTCTTTCAAAAGAAAATGTAGAAGAAACTGTAAAATCTCCTAGATTTTTATCGATCTATTTATCTTAAACGTTGTTAGTGACTTCTTTTATATTAATTTAATTATGCTTGCTAATTTTTAGTTCAGATCGTCCGATTTGTAGTTTTATTAAATAGATTTATAAGTTTTATTAGTTTTGGTGTGATATAGGGTTTTGAGGGCGATAGATTTTAGAATCAAAGAGTAATGAGCTTGAGTAAAAAACCAACAAAAATATAATTTTAAAAAATATTTTCGCCGTGTGGTGGGAATTCTTTAGATAGAGCTGGTAATTTTCTTGAAAGATTTGTTTACAATGACAAGCTGTATTAAGTCATAACTGACATCTTTCTTCATCTCTTCGTTAGCAAAAAAAATCGGTTGGAGTTGTCCAGTAGATCAAACTTGCCAAAATGGTCCTTTTCCAGTGGACTGAAATTCAAGCGATTTCTTTATTAGACTGGAGACGGAAGACTTGTTCTGAGTGGAGAGTTATAGAACAGATCAATGAAAGGTTTTCATCATTTATTTTATCCACAGCTATGATAAAACACGAGCTGGTGGTCCAGGACTAGGAGAAGCTCAAGATAGATGCATTAGTGTGGATGATGCTGCGGTTGCAGTAAGCTTGATGTTATTGTTACGACTTTCGAAGAAAGTGAGGAATATCTATGCCCGGGGTGCTTTTTTAATCAGACCGAGTTTAAAGAAGTTGACAGCATCTGGGCAGATCCGGAAACTTTCGGATTTCCAAGCGAGTGTGCTTGCACTAGACTAAAAATCTACTTGGCTGCTCGACTAATGCGCTACTTATTAATACGCGAATTATTATGCGTGGTAAATTATCCGCACTCATAATCGTTCCAAACTCAATAGAGGCAAGCTAATTGGTCTTATCAAATCCATGTACGATTCAAATTCTTACACTTTGATCAGCCTAAAATTTGTAGTTTTTCAATAATTCATATAACAAAAGTGATTCGAGACCAAACAATGGGCAGTCGGAACAGTCAGGTCTTCGCCCTGATAAGAGCAGTCTTGTTAACTATATTATACTTTGCTCAATTAAAATAACCGGACACAATGAGAAACATTCGAAATCTCAAACGCACGCATTTTATTAATAATCGGTTAAGGTTAAAACAAAAGTTGTTCAAAATGTTTCCCAGAAACATTATCCGAAATTTAACCCCAAAAAAGTGTCAATTTGACTTTTTTAAATCAAAAATACGCTGAAACTATAATGTCCATTGACGATGAAGTCAAACAAAAAAACTTTTTACGCACGTCAACAAAATTCTAAAAAGATAAGCTTCAAAAAAATTGCACAAAAAGCTTAAATTGTGTTTTTAGCTAAAAACTTTGGCTTTTATATAATAAGAAGACCTTTCTTGACATCAACCAAAAAATTATTCTCTTATGCAGGTTGTTTGAAATCTTATCGTTCTAGAATTTTGTAGAGCTAAGTGAGAAGCTTCTTTTGGTTTACGCTTCTTTTCTCATCAATTAAATTGGTAGTTTCAGCGTCAATCTTGATTAATTAAAAAAGCCAAACTTACATTTTTGGAGTAGAAGCTTTATCCAGAATTTTGGAGGAAAAATGCATCCTATCAAATCTGGTGAAAATTAATGCAACTTTTGTTGTCTTCTGATTGTCTTATCTTAACCCATAATGAGAAAAACGCAGTTGAGTGTTCAAATAATGTTTGTTGTGACCGGTTATTTTATATCAGCACTGTCTAGCTATTATAATTTGCCAAAACTATTTTTTGCCAACAAAATAAAAAATCTGAATAGACTGCGCGTTCAGTAAACAACACGCAGCTAGCTATGGTATCGAGCAAATAAATCGAGCTAAAAAAAACTCAAACTAAAAAACAGTTGGATTAACTTTTATCATTTGACCAAGCCATCAAGATTTTTGTCTCATGAAAACCAAGCTGACATGAGTATTCCTGTATTTTGGACGTCTGCAATTGCGGAGCACTACTGGAGCGCATAAAACAAGTTATAGAGGAACCGTTGACGAGACCCCTCCAACTGGAGAGGACGCTAATGCTATAAAGCACCTGATCTATGAGATAAATTGGCACAAGACAAAATAACGCTGGAAAACAAGAAGAGAGCAATGACCGAAAACAGTACATAATGTTTACTTCAAGAATGTTCAAAAAAGATTGGACTCAAGATTAATTCTAGCCTCAAAAACTGAAACAAAGAAAACAAAAAAAAATGTACAAAAAAATTCCACTATAAAAACATCGAAATTGGATTAAAATGAAATAGAGGTAAATCAGGTGAACAATTAGAAACCTTTATTGCTGCATTGACTGCGCAAGCAGCCAGATCAGGAGTTGACTTGATACATCAAAAAATGAACTAGGCAGGGAGCTGGATAACTCAAAGATGCGGAATGCCATATTATGGGACACTCTCACGTTTGAGATAATGTCTCTGGTAGAAGTATTAGATGAAGCAATGAAGTACGAGCAAAGCAAACAAACTAAGTTCGTGTTTCAAAAAAAAAATACAGCTACTGCAGTCAACCCAAAGAAACCTCTGATAAGAATTAACAAGAATTAATCGTGACAATAACAATTAGAAATTCGAACAACAAATGACCAGGAAGAGATCAAAAGGAAGGAAAAAAACAGAAATAAGATATGAAAAGAACAGCTTGGATACCAAATCGTGTTTTTGCTGTGACAAGACCGGTTCGGAAAAATTGTCCCACATGGATAAACCGTGCAAGAATGGCAACAGACCTAAGTATTACAAGCAGTGAAGAATAATTGGAAGAACTAATAGGAGAAGGAAATCTAAATGCCAGTACTACAGAGACAAATAATTCCAAAACAAACACAATTCTATCAATTACCTCAAAATTTCCTGGTGAAATATTCCCGGGTGTTAACCCGGCTAAAAACATTATGTCTGTAGTTCCCCGGAGTTGTAAAGTTGTTTCAAAATCCACCGCTTTACTAGAGTTATTCAGTTCTTCAGTTCATTGAATCGCAATATTCTTCAGATCCTCAGCTTCAAACTAGTTATCAATTAATCAAATGAAAAGACCCGGAAATGCTATGAACCGATACTACGCTCAATTTGTAAATGACTTTTACATTAAAGAAAACTGCCTATGGATGGGTGATAAATTATTTATTCCAAATTCTCTACATTGAGCTATCAACAATCGGCTACACTATTACCACCATGGAAAGAGTAACATGTTTGCGCGGCGGCGAAGGATATTTAGTATCCCTACATCCATCGGAACATCGCTTCCATGGCGGAAAAATGCCAGGAATGTAAATTTGCCGGTAAGAACTTGAAACTTATGTGTTTTAAAGGAAACCAAGGCAAGATACCCGAACCTAAGGAGCCGATTGAGGCCGGTCAGCTGGATTTTTGGGGGCCCATAAAATACCTGCAGGAATCGAAAAAATATGTGATAGTAGCAGTTGATAGATTTTCAACATGGTCATCCGCAAGGGTATGCAATACAAATCGCTCGGATAAAATACTAAAATTTCTCAAACGATATATAAATAATCATGAGGTGCCAAAGAAGATTCATGTTGAACAAGGGATAAATTTCATGTCGAAAGATGTTAAAACGTTTTGTCATGCCGAAGCATTGAAATTGTACAGTCGCCGGTTAATGACCACCGAGCCACCGAGCCACCGGTTGCGTAGAGAGAACAACCGGGAGTTTGAAAAATTCCATTCTAACATACGCACAGGTGAAACAACCGGAAACCTTGGAGAAAATGGCGGAGAGAGCACTAGGAGCGTTGAGATTTTCACCGAACGCGACACTGAAAATAACGCCATTCAAAGCGCATCACGGTAGGGAGGCGAACACCGTACTTCGAAATTTAATTAAAAAGCTAAGAAACTTGAATTGGTCAATGTTCTAAAATCTAAATCTGCATGTTTAGACGAACAAGATCCTGAGGCGCAGCAATGGCCAAAGTGGGCCGACAAAATTAGGGCATGAGGTTTGAAAATAAGTATGGGGGGGGACAAAAGACAAACGACCCACAAACATTAACGACACCACAGGCACTAAGTCAGGCAGACGAACCGACGGCAAAAAATCCTTTCAAGGACCAGGCGATGAGGCAGGCCCATCCCGCACATTGTTTTAGCGCATAGAAGATAGAAACCTAAACAGGTACAAAAAAAATTAAAAATTAGTATCGTGGCGGAAAGTAGGCATACACTTTAAATGAGTAATGGTACCTTGCTAGTGATGGACAACCGTTGGCGACAAGGCGAATCGGAGGGAAATTGCCATTGGCAGTAGTACTGGAGCTACAGCCAGAAATCAGCGGAGGACAAACAACTACGGAGCAATGAATACCTGAAGGAACAATCATTGATCCACATGCCGAGACAAATACGACAGACGCAAGAACGGCAAGTGGAAAACCGAAGAAAAAGGCGGAAAAAGGAGCGACGGACGGCATAGAAGACGGTGTGCCGATGGCTGACCTGGAGACGGTCATAAAGGCGAGCGAAGGAAAGAAGCGACAAAGGAAACCAAGGATAGTCTCATATTCAAGCCAAGATTCGGGGAGTGATACGGGGTCCAGAAAAACTAGAAGGAAGCGAGCGGCGGTGACGAAAATGGGAGGAGTCATGATAGAGCAGGCGGATCGCAAGATATAGGAGACGAGTAAAAAGGTAGCGGATTGACGTAATCGAAGAAAACGAGTAGTGGGGAAAAATGATGAAAATTTCAGAAGCAAACCTTAAAACACAGCCACAGTTATTCAAAACTTAGTACGTTTATCAGTTACTGCCTTAAAACTCAGTGAAGACGCTTAAGCTAGAATTCGCGGAGCCAATCCAAATTTTGTGTTCCAAAACTTTTCCTATAGTGCTTAATTATACCTTATCCAAAACCCGTGCAGTTTATTTATTTTTACAAGAGGGAATGTCAGAGTGCTAAATCAGTTATCCACATCTATTTAGTTCTTGATAGTTCCTTTTGTCAATCATTTCATTTCTTCTCAATGCTAGACATCTTTAGCAAGTGTTTGTCCTTCGGAG